AGGAGACTGTTGTTTTCTGTCACTGTTTTGAATGTAATTTCACATTGTGAATTAAAAGAACTCGACTTTTATAACTTTCAAGATTTAGAAATGAAATTCTAAAATATGTAACTGGTATGACATACAGACTTTGTCAATAATTTATTATCGGCTTTCAGATTGGAGTTTGATATATTGCAGTAGTAACATAAGAATTAAGAATTGATTTACTGATGAGTATTTTTCGTTAAATTGAAATAAATTACTTTTTATTTGATTATATATAAATAATATAAGATTATATCATATAATTTATGAATAATATGAAATTGTCGAGATGAAAAGAACTTTTAATGGAATGTGTAGGCTTATAAATTATCTGTGAGCATTAAAAGTATTGAGTGTACGGTTTTCATATGATTAGTAGTATTACTAATTATTCCAAAGTTTGGAAGGTATATAGATATCTATGAATAATAATTTAAAATTTTGTATCTGTAAAGAGCTTATACAGTGATACCTGTAATTCTCCGATATTAATTAGTGCGCGGATCATACAAGATTATAATGTTATAATTAATGCAAGGATTACCCTAATTAATTATAAAATTGACTACACCAAGAAAAGAATTTATATTAGAAGAATACATTCAATTTGAATATTGCTTGTATCAGAAGTTTCATATGAATTCTGCATGACTGGATTATTGAAATGCAATATGTTGGATATGATGTCTTGTGAAGTTATGATGGTTTACTCAGTAACGTGTCGTACTATAGTGATTATGTGTATTACATCCGAATGAGTTATACATACCTGCGCACTCTTGCTGTATGGTCCAATTTCTTCTTAAACATTAGTAAATTAAGGAACTTGACTCTCATAATCTACATGATTTGGATTGAAGATGTATTAAATTACATAATTAGCTTGATAAATAGTTTTCTGATGGAAATTGATTGCCTTTTATGGCTGCTTGATTTGAGATTAATACAACATATTAGTAATAACATAAGTATGAAGAATCAATTTTGAAGAGTGTTATCTGTTTATAATTGAGTGAAGCTACTGTTATTTGATTATATACAGTCATTACAGACATTATAAGATTATTTTACATAATTTATAGGAATAATTTGAGATTGTCGATTTGGAAAGAACCTATAATGCGGATGTGTAAAGAGTTATGGACTTTATACAACTTTACTGATTGTGCGAATTGTTAAAATGACTCTAATGATTATTTTAAGTATATGAACATTGATCTATACTGGGAAGGAGAATTTATATATTGAAGATACACTCAATTTGAATAAAGACTGTGCTAAGGTATTCATATGAGATTCCCGTATGACTGGATACGGAAATGTAATATGCTGTATACGATGTTATGTGAAATATTGTATTTGTCAATGATGTGCTGTACCAAGATAATGTATATTACACTTTAAGGAGTTTATGCATATTTATGCATACTTGTGCGAATTTATTGTGGTTTGCTGATTAATCTTTTCTTACTAAAGGGACTTAGTGAAATACCTATTATTATTTATATTGAATTTATATACGATTAAAGATGACATTTATCAGTATAATATATATAATGTAGAATTATATGTATACGTGTCTGTGGTGATGTTTAAGTAACTAAATAAGTAATAATATAATTGATGATTTATTACAAGAAAATGACTAGATGATAGATACAAATATGAATGGATATTGCCTATTTACACAATGGAGGTGATATATAATTATCAACAAATAAATTAGTGGCCTTTAAAGGTCCAGTCGAGTGGCCCCCCTTTTGCGAGGTTAGTACAAGTTAAGCTAAATTAATTCAAAGAGTGACTAAATAAATACATAAATAAACTGTGTTATGTGGATGTTTGAAAAGGAGATTTCTTTTATCCCTCACCTGTGTTGATGATTACCTGGATTTTTCTATAACAAATAAATATATAAAGGACATTAATATGAATAGTAATCGAAGGTGCATCAATAAACAATTAAATGGGCTTACACACTACTGCACTGTGTTATAGCGATTGTGGGCTCTCTAAAGGGATGTTTACTTTATTTGAAATAAAAGTTTATTTATTTCTAATAAATAAATAAATAAATAATCAAATTATTGCGAGCATCTTTATGGTACCTATCAAGGAGAATAAAACTGATACAAATACCAGGAACAATTAGTGATTCAACTGAAGCATAAAGAAAGCTTATTAGCAAGGGCAATGTTAGATTATTGTAGATTATAATAAATGAACTTACACAGTGAATAAAGGGATAAATAAATAGACTTACACACTGTTACATTGTGTCGCGAATGAATGAGTGTAAGCTTTTCACGAGATGTGGACTGTATCTGAAATAGAAGGGCTTAATAATCTCTAACAAACGGATAATTAAATAGACTTACATACTGTGTTGTAAATGATTGTAAGTTCTCACGGGATGTTGGCTGCATCTGAAATAGAAAAATGTAGTAAGTTTTGCTACAATTTTGTTATATATTCGTTGGACAATTATGGAATAACTATACTCTGCTAGATTTTAAATTAATTAATGGATTATGAAAGGGGACATTTTACTGTGATATAATACTCTATAACTATATTGA